GGCCACATGACCATGGAGACGTTTTTGGACAGTGCTGGCTCTTAAACTTAGAAACGGAGATGAGCACTGCGCCCTAAAGCCGGAAACGACTAGCATGCATGTGCAGGGGGAACCATTACCTTTTAACCATATTTATATTTGGCTACATTTTGGTTTTGTCCTTTTTCCTCAAAAAATTCAGGTAGTCCTCGACTTACGATCAAATTTGAGTCCAAAATTTCTGTTAAGTGAGACATTTGTTAAGTGAGTTTTGCCTTATTTTATGACCTTTCTTGCCATAGTTGTTAAGTGAATCACTGCAGGTGATAAGTTAGTAACCTGGTTGTTAAGTGAATCTGGCTTCCCCATTGACTTTGTCAGAAAGTTGCAAAAGGTGATCACATGATCTTGGGACACAGCAATGGTCATAAGCATGAACCTATTGTCAAGCACATGATCATGGGGATGCTACAAAGGTTATAACTGAAAAACGGTCATAAGTAACTTTTTTCAGTGCCGCTGCAACTTTGAATGGTCACTAAATGAACTGTTGTAAGTCGAGGACTATCTGTACTGAACTCAGCATCATAACAGCCCTCACAATGCAAAACCTTACCTGCAGTCATCTCCTCCTGTGCTGATAACATGCTTGTCATCATGAGAAAAGCGTATGTTGGTGACATGTGCAGAATGACCAAAGTAACGCTTATGTTTGGCCTGTTAAGAAAAGAAACAATTTCTGGCGCTGAATACAATGTTCAGTGAACACTCACAAATAGCCAGCCACATTTCCTTGCCACCAGGAGATACAGGCTGATCTCAGCTACCCATCAACCAAACGTTTATTAAGGTAAAGCACACTGACAAACATATACCAAAAAGGCAAAACAAGCTCACTTACAAATTTTTCAGTACATGGAAAATCAAAGAGTTTGACTAGCCCAAAGTCATCTCCAGAGACAATGTTCAAGCCAGCATGGGTCACACAGGCACAGTTGACATCTGCCTTATCTGCGTTTCGGGGCCAAATACCAATGACTTCATCCCCAAGGATACTGCTCCAAGAGAGAAAAATCAACTAATTAGCGAGGACATAACTGTAAAATGTCTTCGGGAGTATAGGATATATAAAAAATTATAACATACTTCGGGTGCTGTTGAAAGAATGAAGTAGAATGTCAAAATTCAAAAGAGGGGACAGGCATTTTCTAAGGGCCGTTATTCTAAGTGGATTAGTCTCTCACTATCTTGCTCATTAACCTGCATTCTTGTCATGGACTTCTGACTATTTTTCATCTCTGAAGAGGTAGCAGTTTCCCCTTTAAGGGATGTGCTTGCTCTAGTGGAAGATAGACAACCATCTGTCAGGAATGGATTCATTTGGATTCCAACCTGAAGCAGAAGATCAGACTCAACGGCCTAAGTTGCCTCTCCCAATTCTGATCTGATGATGATGTTGCTTTGCATTTTGTGCTACATCACCTTGTCCAGGTAGTCCATGTGATCTTTCCAATAAATGCTGTATCTGTCACTTGCTTTCCTAGTGGCACCTCATGGACTTGCCGTTTGTAGGCACCAGTTGATACCTAAGGAAGGAAATGAATCAAAAATGATTATATGGACAATGGTAAAGTATATAGTTCTTCCAAAATCATCCCAGGAGTAATGACAATTTTGGGTTCTCCTTGCATTATATTTTATTATATAAAATGTTGAAATGTTTAACTGAACAGTAAGACTGTTCATAAATACCCTGACAAACTTTGGAATGTGAATGGCTGATTTTATGAAACTACTTCTCATATTTCCAGCAAATCAGAGCCTGTACATTTGTCTCATTTGACATTTTAAAAATCGGACGTTCTGGTCAATTTAAAAGTCAATCAAAACCTAATAGCTGTGGCTCTTTATACCTAAATTTTAAGTTCATTTCTGTCTGTGTCAGTTCTTCCTTCCCGATGCTTACTATTCTGGAATATCCGTATCATAAACAAAAGGAATAGGAAAGGTCTATGAAATTTAAGATGTACACCTCCTAGTCTTCTTGACATGAGGCATGAATTCTTGTTTGAATCAGGAAGGCTGTTTGTTAACTGAAAGGAAAAACTTCACCTGAATGTATTTGCCATCTGCTGAAAAATCCATTTGAATGACAAAACTTGGGATGTCTTTGCAATAGCCGATTCGATTCAAGGTTGTGCCTTGTGTGAGATCATAGAAGTCTACAGTATGTTCCTGTGAACCCACTGCCAAAAACCGATTATCAGGGCTGATTCTAGAAACAAGAAAACAAAAAGAAATTTCTAGAGATTTCTGAGATGACAATGATATTAAAAAAATAAAATAAACTGCCCAATAGCCAAAGCTCCTTGATCAGTTTACAATTCATTCAAATACAACCTGGGAACAATAAAATCATATAAAACACAAATTAAAAGCACCATATAAATTAGTCTATAAATTAGTCAGTAGCAAAATGGTCATTCAAAACTTAAGGATTAAAATACAATTAAAAGCCAATTAAAAATTCTGGGAAAATAGAAAGCGTTTCACTTGGTATCAAAATGATGGTGCTAATGGGTATAAGCCTCAAGGAGAAGCCATTCCATAAATGAGGCACCAGCATAGAAAATGTTCTTCAGTGTGCAGTGGTCCACATTATCTCATGTGGTGAAGAAGCTGGAGGAGGACCTCATTCAGTTATCTTAAGTTCTATCTAGGTACAGACAAGAAAATACTCCTTTGAGTGACCTGGTAATTGTTAACCATTACATGAAATGAGCCATAACTGTATGTTCATTCTAAAAGCATCTCATGTAATGCATATTTTGCATGGTTCTGAAGTTTTAGAAATAGACAAGTCAAAGAGCGTGTGCCTAGAAAGAAAATGTTACACCCTACCTGCCCCATTCTGGTTAGTAGGTCATGATGCGTGAGAATTAGCTGGACTTTCAGCACAATTTTTTGCATCTTCTTGGAGCTCCCCAAGATTGCACCGCTAAATCATGGCAATTCAATTCTCAGTCCTGCAGTTTCATAGACTGCAGAATCTAATCTTGTCTTCCCAACTATAAGCCCATTACAGTCTTTGTTAAAAAGAAATAACCAAAAACAGGGCATCACCCAGGGGCTATATAAGTGATACTGAGTAGAATGTGTTTTTTTTTATTTTTATCCATAGGCAGGATATATGGAAAGCATCCAAATATAAATGTAATACCCTTTATCTGTATAGAACTTTTATTTATTCAACCAAATTATGCTTATTTTGAAATTCTGCTACTGAAGTAAGAGGATTTTATTTTTTTTAACAGTTCTTTCCTGCCTACTCCTCTGATACTACATAGCTTTGTACCTTTCCCCATATTTCTTTGAAGTTCCAAGATTTGGCATTGCAAAGGATAGGATATGGATTTTTTCATCTTTTACATTGCCCTCAGATTTTCTTCCCTCTCTCCATTTATAGACAGATTCGTAAGTCTGTGCATCTCAAGCAATCTGTCTCTGGGCTCATATTGGATGGGTTTGGCTCACTCCTTAGTATTCTAGGGGAGGAGAAGTAAGATCTTATTCCCTGTGTGAGTTATCATTCTTGCTGATGTAATCTCAGTGCAGTCACTTCAGCCATCAAGCTGAAAGCCACTATCAAATGGCACAAAGCCAAAAACATCAGCAGTAATGGAATAAATAGGCGCACTTCTGCTTTTTCTCTTTCGGGCGTTCTTTGCTTTGCATGCTAAAGTACCTGATGTCCTGGATAGCAGATTTTCTATCTCTTTTTTTGCCCCAAACTTTAAGACTGTTGACAAGCAAAATAATAAACTCTCCATTCTTCATGCCAATAGCAACCATCTCGCCATCTGGACTGTAGGCAGCACATCTTGCAGCATGGCCCAAATTAACTTTATTCAGAAGTTTCTGAAGAACAGAAATGATATTAGGTTATAGGGACTCACATTATTTATGATTTGTATTCTTTCATTTTAGAATTAAAACTGTTCTGACCCGGATCCCAAACACGACAAGTCCTTTGTAGTTTTAATGAAACATTCTCTTTATTCGGAGCGCCAGCAACTGCTCTCTCACAGCAGGTTACCAAGTCTCTTAAGTCCTTTGGAAAGTGACACTCACTTCCTTTCACCCTGAAATGGCCCAACGCACCAGGAGTCTCTCTCTCTCTCTCTCTCTCTTCCCACACTTGCAAAGGAAGTT